CTCAGATGTTTTTCTGCTGAAGCTTTGGCTAACTTTCTCAAAACACTCTCATAATGAGCAGATGTTATTGTTCTTTGGCCCTCTAGAAAGTCAACAAGCAAAATGCCTTGAGCATCCCCCAGAAAACTGTTGCCATGGCCTTTGTTCTTGACTGGTCTGCTTTTGCTATGACAGGACCACTTCCACCTCTCAGTAACCATTGCTTTGATTGTGCTTTGTCTTCAGGATCATACTGGTAAAGCCATTTTTCATCTGTTATAATTCTTCAAAGAAATGCCTCAGGATCTTGATCTCACTTGTTTAAAATTTCCATTGAAAACTCTGCTCTTGTCTGCAACTGATCTGGGTGCGATGGCATTGGCACCCATTGAGTGGAAAGTTTGTCCAACTTTAATTTTTCAGTCAGATTTGTGTGAGCTGCACCAATTGAGGTATCTGTGGTGTTAGCTATTGTTTGTGCTGTTAATTTTTGCTTCTCTTCAATTAGGGCATGAACAAGATGATTTTTTCCCTTGCAAATTGATGTAGATGGTCTGCTGCTGCAATTAGGGCATGAACAAGATGATTTTTTTCCTTGCAAATTGATGTAGATGGTCTGCTGCTGCAGGCGCCATCTTCCACATCATCTTGTCCCTCCTTAACAAGTTATCCATTTGTAAGCTGCTAATTTCTTTGGGGATTTGTCCCCATAAACTTTTCTGAAAGCATCAGTGATTTCACCATTCTTACATCCAAGCTTCACCATAAATGTTGATGTTTCTTCTCGCTTCAATTTTAGCAGAATTCACATTGCTCTGAAAGGGACTGTTTTCAAGTTGATGTCTTACGCTTCTTAGTGCCGCAAACGAAATCCCATTCAGACATGTTATAACAAGTTAGTATGAGTTTATTTTGGTGCAAAACAATTTGAAATTCATGCATAGTGTTTTCATACTATGTGTTTTCCATGAACTTTTCTAAGTCCCCTTGTTTAAGAGTATTATATGATCTCATTTATATGAAATTTTAGAACAGGCAAAACTATACTGATAGAAGACAAGTAAGTGGTTATCTGGTGTTGGAATGGGGTAGAGATTCTGTGAAGGGGGATGAGTGAACTATTTTGGGGTGATATTTAGGATGATTAATTATGTTTTATATCTTGATTGTTGTGGTGGATACATGGGTATATACATTTGTCAAAAATCAAACTCTCTCTCTCTCTATATATATTTTTTTCCCCGAGACGGAGTCTTGCTCTGTCACCAGGCTAGAGTGCAGTGGAACGATCTTGGCTCACTGCAACCTCTGCCTTCCGGGTTCAAGGATTCTCCTTCCTCAGCCTCACTAGTAGCTGGGACTACAGGCATGTGCCACCACGCCCAGCGAATTTTTGTATTTTTAGTAGAGACAGAGTTTCACCCTGTTGGCCAGGATGGTCTCGATCTCTTAACCTCATGATTCACTCACCTCAGACTCCCAAAGTGCTGGGATAACAGGTGTGAGCCACTGTGCCTGGCTCAAACTATACTCTTTCATTTTTTTCTTTTTTGAGATGGAGTCTTGCTCTGTCACCCAGGCTGGAGTACAGTGGCATGATCTCGGCTCACTGCAAGCTCCACCTCCTGGGTTCATGCCGTTCTCCTGCCCCAGCCTCCCGAGTGGATGGGACTACAGGTGCCCGCCACCATGCCCAGCTAATTTTTTGTATTTTTAGTAGAGATGGGGTTTCACTGTGTTAGCCAGGATGGTCTCAATCTCCTGACCTCGTGATCCACCCACCTCAGCCTCCCAAAGTGCTGGGATTCAAACTATATATATATATATATATATATATATATATATTTTTTTTTTTTTTTTGAGACGGAGTCTCGCTCTGTCACCCAGGCTGGAGTGCAGTGGCCGGATCTCAGCTCACTGCAAGCTCCGCCTCCCGGGTTCACGCCATTCTCTTTTTTTTTTTTTTTTTTGAGACGGAGTCTCGCTCTGTCACCCAGGCTGGAGTGCAGTGGCCGGATCTCAGCTCACTGCAAGCTCCGCCTCCCGGGTTCACGCCATTCTCTTTTTTTTTTTTTTTTTTTTTTTTTTTTTTGAGACGGGGTCTCGCTCTGTCACCCAGGCTGGAGTGCAGTGGCCAGATCTCAGCTCACTGCAAGCTCCGCCTCTCGGGTTCACGCCATTCTCCTGCCTCAGCCTCCCGAGTAGCTGGGACTACAGGCGCCCGCCACCTCGCCCGGCTAGTTTTTCGTATTTTTTCGTAGAGACGGGGTTTCACCGTGTTAGCCAGGATGGTCTCGATCTCCTGACCTCGTGATCCACCCGTCTCGGCCTCCAAAAGTGCTGGGATTACAGGCTTGAGCCACCGCGCCCAGCCCAAACTATATTCTTAATATGAATACAGTTTATTGTTTCTAAACTACACCTCAATAAATGTTGATTAAGTGAAAATTAATAATGAGATACAATTCCATACCTATCATATTGGCAAAAATTTTGTAATCTGGTAGTGTCAAGTGTTGGTGAGTGTATGAGGAAAGGGGAATTATTCTATTTCATTGATGGAAGCAAATATTGGTACAATCACTGTTGAGCCATTCAGCAGAATAATTTGTCAGTCTCTAGTAAGTGAAGATGTATATAACTGTAATCTAGCAATTCCATTTCTAAGCATACACTGTGACCCACAGATACACTCACATATGTGTACCAGGGCACAAACTGACTGCAACATTACTTATGATAGCAAAAAATCAGGAACAATCTCAATGTATCTATTAACAGAAGATAGATTGATAACTTTTGGTATAGTCATTTATAAGAGAAAACTAGACTGCTGTATCACAGCACGGGTAGACCTCAAAAATATAATGTTGAAAGCAAAAAACAACCTCATTAAAATGGGCAAAAGATGTGTACAGACACTTCTTCCAAGAAGACATACACGTGGCCAACAAGCAAATGAAAAAATGTTCAACATCACTAATCAGAGAAATGTAAGTCAAAACCACACTGAGATACCATTTATACCAGTCAGAATGACTATTATCAAAAAGTAAAAAAGTAACAGATACTGGTGAGGTTGTAGAGAAAAGGAAATGTTTACACACTTGTGGCAGGGATGTAAATTAGTTCAGCCACTGTGGAAAGCAGTTTGGAGACTTCTCAAAGAACTTAAAACAGAACTAACATTTGACCCAGCAATCCCATTACTGGGTATATACCCAAAGCAACAGAAATAATTCTACTATAGGCCAGATGCGGTGGCTCACGCCTGTAATCCTAGCAATTTGGGAGGCAGAGGCCAGTGGATCACCTGAGGTCAGGAGTTCGAGATCAGCCTGACTAACATGGAGAAACCCTGTCTCTACTAAAAATACAAAATTAGCCAGGCATGGTGGCACATCTCTGTAATCTCAGTGACTTGGGAGGCTGAGGCAGGAGAATCGCTTGAACCCGGGAGGTGGAGGTTGCAGTGAGCCAAGATCGCTCCATTGTACTCCAGCCTGGGCAACAACAGTGAAACTCCGTCTCAAAAAAAAAAAGAAAGAAAAGCAAAAAGAGATAATTCTACTATAAAGACACATGTACACATATGCTCATCGCAGCACTATTTACAATAACAAAAACATGGAATCAGCCTAGGTGCCCATCAGTGGTGGACTGGATAATGGAAATGTGGTACATAGAATACTACACAGCCATAAAAAAGAAGGAGATTGGCCGGGCACGGTGGGTCATGCCTGTAATCCCAGCATTTGGGAGACGAGGCAGGTAGATCACAAGGTCAGGAGTTCGAGACCAGCCTGACCAACATGGTCAAACCCCATCTCTATTAAAAATACAAAAATTAGCCAGATGTGGTGGCGCACGCCTATAATCCCAGCTACTCAGGAGGCTGAGGCAGGAGAATGGTTAGAATCTGGGAGGTGGAGGTTGCAATGAGCCGAGATCACGCCTTTGCACTTCAACCCGGGCAACAGAGCGAGACTCTATCTCAAAAATAAATAAAAAGAACGAGATTGGTTAGGGGCGATGGCTCACGCCGGTAATCCCAGCACTTTGGGAGGCTGAGGCGGGCAGATCACCTGAGATCAGGAGTTTGAGACCAGCCTGGCTAACATAGTGAAACCCCGTTTCTACTAAAAATACAAAAAATTAGCTGGATGTGGTGGCACGTGTCTGTAATCCCAGCTACTTGGGAGGCTGAGGCAGGAGAATCCCTTGAACCTGGGAGACAGAGGTTGCAGTGAGCCAAGATCATCCCACTGCACTCCAGCCTGGGCAACAAAAGCGAAACAAAACAAAGATAAAAACAAAGAAAAGAATGAGATCATGTTCTTTGCAGCAACATGGATTGATCTGGAGAATATTATCTTAAGTAACTAACAAAGGGACAGAAAACCAAATGTTCTAACTTATAAATGGAAGCTAAACGTTGAGTACCCAGGGACACAAAGAAGAGAACGATAGACTAGGCGCAGTGGCTCATACCTATGATTCCAGCACTTTGGTAGGCCAAGGCGGGTGGATCACCTGAGGTCAGGAGTTCATGAGCAGTCTGGCCAACATAGCGAAAACCCGTCTCTACTTAAAAATACAAAAATTAGCCAGGTGTGGTGGCTAGAGTGCAGTGGCACAATCTCAGCTCACTGCAACCTCCGCCTCCCAGGTTCAAACCACTCTCTTGCCTCAGTCTCCCGAGTCACTGGGATTGCAGGCGCCTGCCACCATGCCTAGCTAATTTCTGTATTTTTAGCAGAGACAGGGTTTTACCAAGTTGGCCAGGCTGGTCTCGAACTCCTGACCTCGTGATCCACCCGCCTTGGTCTCCCAAAGTACTGGGATTACAGGCGTGACCCACCGCATCCGGCCAGTATCTGTGAATTTTGATATGAGAGCAAGAACATTTAAAACCCTTACATTTACAAATTGATGTTTGTTTGCATGAAGGCCTTGGTGAAAGTTGACCAAAAGTCACCCTGTGGACTGTCAGCATCTTTCTTTCTCTCTCTCTCTTTCAGGGTAAAAACCCCAAAGCTGTCATCAGCATTAAGGACTTGAATGCCACCTTCCAGACAGAGAAGATAGGGCACCCCCACGGGCTGCAGATCACCTACAGGAGAGATGGCCACATCAGGAACCTGTTTGTGTATCATGAAAGTGGGAAGGTGAGACGACTGGAGTTGCCACCTCCACCTCCAGCTCGCACCCCAGGACTTGGCAGGTGCAGCTCACCACCTCCCCTGCTCACTGGTGCTGTGCTCAGCTGCCTCTAGAGATTTTCTGCTACCATTTGCCTTAATCTATCGTCACTTCCCAGTCTGAGACACAGATATGAGGAGGGCAGGGTGAGATCAGAGAGAGGAACCTGGCAAGTACCATGGCTGTATCTGAACAGTGCACAGCCACCAATGAAAGTCCAGTTACAGAAGTGACTATGCCCAGGAATGCAAAGCCAGGTAGGGCCAGAGGTATTTTATTTATTTATTTATTTTTTATCCAAAATGTGTTTATTGAGATGGTTTCCCACTCATCTTGATTCAGAGTGCCTTTAGTGCTGCTTCCTCCTAAAGGAACATCCTTCTGTAAGCCTTGCTTTTCCTCCTGTAGGCTGGCAGAGGACAGTGGAGCAGCCAACACACAAAACTACGGTTTGTGCATGGCTAAAGACCATGGTGATTTTATAGCATCCTGGGCATTTCACATCCATGAAGTAGGAATTGGGGCTCTGCACCAGGCGTTTCTTCTTGTGTTTCCTCTTCTCCTCTTCTGGGGAGGGATGAAGGAGATCCTTTGCGAGAGGCATGTTCTCATGTGGGTCGGTCGTCACCGCCGGAAAGGCAGGCCAGAGGTTTTGAATACAGGGGAGGAACTGATAGACAGTCAAGCGGCAGTGCGCCCCAGGACGCTGCTTCTCAACATGTGGTCCTGGTCCAACAGCATTGGCATCACCCAGGAGCTTGTTAAAAATAGTCTCAAGGCTGAGCATGGTAGCTTTTGCCTGTAATCCCAGAACTTTGGGAGGCCAAGGCAGGTGGATCACTTGAACCCAGGAGTTTGAGACCAGCCTCAACTGGTGGGGAGGGGGCTGTAATCCCAGCACTTTGGGAGGCCGAGGTAGGCGGATCATGAGGTCAGGAGATCGAGACCATCCTGGCTAACATGGTGAAACCCAGTCTCTACTAAAAATACCAAAAAATTAGCTGGGCCTGGGGGCGGGCGCCTGTAGTCCCAGCTACTCGGGAGGCTGAGGCAGGAGAATGGCAATGAACCCAGGAGATGGAGCTTGCAGTGAGCCGAGATGGCGCCACTGCACTCCAGCCTGGGTGACAGAGCAAGACTCCGCCTCAAAAAAAAAAAAAGAAAAAAGAAAAAGAAACTGCATTTTAACAGGATCCCAGGTGAGTCTTGTGCACATTTAAGTTTGAGAAGCACTATTTTTTTTCCTTTGGAGACAAAACTCGCTCTGTTGCCCAGGCTGGAGTGCAGTGGCGCGATTTCGGCTCACTGCAACCTCCACCTTCAGGGTTCAAGCGATCCTCCTGCCTCAGCCTCCTGAGTAGCTGAGATCACACTCAGCAAATTTTTTTTATTTTTTATTTTTTATTTTTAGTAGACACAGGGTTTCACCATGTTGGCCGGGCTGGTCTTGAATTCCTGACCTCAAGTGATCTGCCCACCTCGGCCTCCCAAAGTGCTGGAATTACAGGGGTGAGCCACTGAGAAGCACTATTTAATAGTCCAGGAAATCAGCCCAGTCAGAGATGAGCAGACCAATATAAGAGAATAAGCTGGGTCAGGTCCTGAGCAGGGTCTCAGGACTAGGCAGGGGACAGAGATGCTAAGTGGGGGTGGATGAAGGTGGGTGCTGACATTTTGTGACCATGTATTAACTCCCCTGGGCACTGCTTTTGGTGATTGCTGTCCATCATTTCTTAATCCTCAAAATAAGCCCCCGTTACTGAGTCATGGACATGTTAGTAACTTGCTCGGGGCCACAGCCAATGGTTCCCGAGCCCTGCACCCACTTTACCCGCCATGTGCCTCTGCTGTAGGGAGGACCCTTGGCAGCAGGAGGCAGGAACCAGATGCAGGGACTAGACCTTCCCAAGGGGCCGTAGCACCACGGCCCCCCTAGCCCCCTCTCCATGCCAACCACTGCCACAAGGACTTTTACGGAGGCACCCAAGGTCTCTGGCACTTAGGATACCCAGCTCCCTCCTATCTGCCCAGTATGGTGCCTCTGACAACCTGGGTCTGGCCGTTCTTCTCTTGTGCTGGATGCCCCAGCCTGTCTGTTAGATGGGCATAAATGAGGACTCCAGATTCCTGCCTGCAGGAGTCAGGGGGTGATTTAAAAACTAAGTGGACGGGCATAAGGGGTGGGGAGGGGGCTGTGGCAAACAGGAAAACCTGCATGGAGGATTGAAACAAACAAAACTTCAGGAGCCAAACAAACAGGTATGCAGGTTGGACTTGGCACCAGGATCACCAGATTGTGACTGGAGAGACCTTCCAACGTGAAGGCCTAGGCATGCCTTTTCTGGGCTGGCCCCATTCCCTTAGTGCCTGACACCTAAGAAGGTTCTTTTTTTTTTTTTTTTTTTTGGAGAAGGAGTCTTGCTCTGTTGCCCAGACTGGAGTGCAGTGGCACAATCTCAGCTCGCTGCAACCTCTGCCTCCCAGGTTCAAGCAATTCTCCAGCCTCAGCCTCTCGAGTAGCTGGGATTACAGGCATGCACCACCATACCTGGCTAATTTTGTATTTTTAGTAGAGATGGGGTTTCACCATGTTGGTCAGGCTGGTCTCAAACTCCTGACCTCAGGTGATCCACCCGCCTCAGCCTCCCAGACTGCTGGGATTACAGGCATGAGTCACCGCACCTGGCCAGAGGGTCCTTAGTGAACCCCAGGACAAGAGAGCACAGACCCCTGGAATCCTAGGCCTGTGTGCTTCGCCTATGAGAGAGAAAGGGAAATGGTTTCATTCCTTTGAAACCATATTCAAATGACTTTCTCAGTCATCATATTGTATCAAAATCACAAACTACCACTATTTGAACAAGCCTTTTAGTCTCTTCCAATTCCAAATTCCTGGGAGAAGGAATCTGATAAGCCCAGTCCAGCCTCTGTATTGGTCCAGGCCTGGTCCAGCTGCTGTGGTTAAGCAGGGGCAGGATCACAGCAGTAAATGGGGCTGCAACTGGGGTTGGGTGAAGATAGGTGGGGTAGTTCTCACAGAAGCAGGACTTGGGCTGAGCAAGCACCAAAAATCTATCTATTACAACATCAGAACTAACCTGTGGGAGAAGTAGAATGTTTTACGTAAAAGGTGTGTGTGGGATGGAGCGGGCTAAGCAGAATGTCCCAAGACGAAGGAGCAGTAGGTGTTGGGAGAATTGCATATAGTTTTGCATGGAAGGAGCTCAGACAGCAGTCATAGTAAAGAACTTAAGACTTTTTTTTTTTTTTTCTGAGGGTAGTAGACAGGACTCCAAGTCAGACTGATTAGATTTGTAATTAGAAAATCTGCAGGCCAGGCGTGGTGGCTCACGCCTGTAATCCCAGCACTTTGGGAGGCCGAGGCAGGCGGATCATGAGGTCAGGAGATTGAGACCATCCTGGCTAACACAGTGAAACCCCGTCTCTACTAAAAATACAAAAATTAGCTGGACATGGTGGCAGGTGCCTGTAGTCCCAGCTACTCAGGAGGCTGAGGCAGGAGAATGGCGTGAACCTGGGAGGCAGAGGTCACAGTGAGCCGAGATCACGCCACTGCACTCCAGCCTGGGCAACAGAGCGAGACTCCGTCTAAAAAAAAAGAAAAAAAATCACTCTGGTTGCCATGAGAGGGTCAATTGGAGAACAGCTGATCAAGGCCAGCTAGGTACGTGGTTGTCTAGGTGGGAGATGAAGGTGACCCAGGCTGCTGAGGGACATGTTCTTTCAGAGTGACAGCAGAAGGGACCAAGCCAGCTTTGGCCTAAGTTGCCATAAGCATCCTCATCAGAGGAGCATCCCCAGGCACACCTGCTCCCCACCCAAATGCCAATCTTTGACATCTGAGGACAATGATTTCCTAGAACCTTTCTCCTTAGAGTGTATTCCACTGACTAGCAGCATCATATCACCTGAGAGCGTGTTAGGAATGCAGAGTCTTGGGCCCCATTCCAAACCTACTGCACATGCCTCTGCATTTTAACAAGAGCCTCAGGAGATTTTGTACGCATTAGAAAGTGAAAAGCACTGTCTGAGGCCATTGCAGAACTCCTGTGCAGTTCACCCGATCCTTTTCTGGGGCTCTGGGGTTATCCCTGTCAGAGGCTTCCTGTTTGCTCGGGTTAGCCCACGAGGCTCTGACACAGTCCTGCCTGGATGCCCCTGAGCCAAGCTGTGGGGTGTGTGCAGGCGCTGAATACATGCGCTCCACACGCAATGCCCAGCTAGCTTCCCGCCACCAGACGCAGCCTCCCACCCACCCCATCTCACTGCTGTGTGTGTGTGTCCTGTGCGCTTCTCTCGGCAGGAGATAGTGGACTGGTTCAATGCCCTGCGTGCAGCCCGTCTGCAGTATCTAAAATTGGCTTTTCCTGAACTCCCGGAGTCTGAGGTGAGCTAAATGTGGACCCCAATTTCTGAATCTCCTCTCGGCCATCTCCTTCTTTCCTTGTCTGTTGACCTCGAAGACACTCAGAAGCCAGACTAGGGCTGGGCATGGTGGCTCACGCCTGTAATCCCAGCACTTTGGGAGGCCGAGGCGGGCGGATCACGAGGTCAGGAGATCGAGACCATCCTGGCTAGCATGGTGAAACCCCATCTCTACTAAAAATACAAAAAAATTAGCTGGATGTGGTGGCGGGCACCTGTAATTCCAGCTACTTGGGAGGCTGAGGCAGAAGAATGGCATGAAACCGGGAGGCGGAGCTTGCAGTGAGCCGAGATGGCGCCACTACACTCCAGCCTGGGTGACAGAGCAAGACTCCATCTCAAAAAAAAAAAAAAAGAAACCAAAGAAGCCAGACTAGGTTTGTTTGCAGGTAAGACCTCGAGGTTGAGGGCTGGGTAGCTCAGAAGGAAACCCAAGGCATTCTCCAGGGGAGCCTGAGGGGTTACAGCCTCACATATGACAAGGCAGCCTCCCAAAAGCAGGTCAGTTTCTCGCCTTCAGAGGAGTGTCAAGGGGCTCAGCATTTGGTCATCTCTTTCTGACCCCTTCTCCCTCTAAAATGTACAAATGATCCCTAACATACTGCTTACAGAGTGCTTTGAGCCCGTTTTGTCTTGTGAAATGGCAGCCGGGCAGGGGTGATTATTTCCATTTCACTGATGTGATACACAGTCCCAGGAAGGGCAGGTGAATAACCAAAGGTGCGCTTCCCTTTGTAACATCCCCGCTTTGCCCTGTGATGCTCTGGGCTTGGGAAAGCCTGGGATCCTCCCCATTACAATTGCAACAGGAGCAGGTATGCCCTTCGTGGCCAACATGATGGGGAGCCGAGAACCTCATTTTGGTTGTCTCCAGACTTCTGGGGCCTTCATCTCCCTATTTCAGGCTGGGCCAGGGAGGCCCGCATGGTGTGGGGCAGAGGATGCTGCCTTGAGCCAGGAAGCCTGGGCTCTCAGGGGTGCTCTATTGCTCACTTTCTGTGTGACCCCTGCAGATCCTGGCACCTCTCTGAGCTTCTGTTTCCAGATTGGTAAGATGGCAGTTAGTCCAGGTCATCTTCAGGGTCCCTTCCGGCTCTGAGATTCTATACTCTGGTCCTCTTCAAGAGGCTCCCCTCTAAGAGGATTTTATAAGTGATGGGGGTGGAAAACCATTTTAATGCTGGGATTTTCTTAATCTCAACCATTAGAGCTTCCTTTTTTTTTTTTTTTTTTTTTTTTTGAGACGGAGTCTCGCTGTGTCGCCCAGGCTGGAGTGCAGTGGCACGATCTCCGCTCACTGCAAGCTCCGCTGCCTCCTGGGTTCCTACCATTCTCCAGCCTCAGCCTCCCTAGAAGCTGGGACTACAGGCACCCACCATCACGCCCGGCTAATTTTTTTGTATTTTTAGTAGAAACGGGGTTTCACCATGTTCGCCAGGATGGTCTCAATCTCCTGACCTCATGATCCGCCCGCCTCGGCCTCCCAAAGTGCTGGGATTACAGGCGTGAGCCACCACGCCTGGCCTAGAGCGTCCTTGAAAGCCTAAATGCTCCTTAATTCCAAGGTTTGTAGGGAGCCAGTTGTTTGGAATAGGGTCCCCTCCAGGCCCAAGGATATGCTGAGATGGCAGCTGTCTGGGAGCAATTCCAGTAAGGCCCGAGTCAGAGCCCTTGAGTCAGTCTGCTGAGTTTGCACCCAGAACTGGCTCCCATGGGTGGGGAGTGGAGGGTGCTGACTGCTGACTATGAGGAAGGAGGACAAAGTGCAGATGCTCAGCCTTATTTAATCTGGGCAAGTTGCCCATCTTTGCTGACATGTGTAGAAGAAATTGCTCTTCAGTCAACATCCTCAATGTTCCCCTGCCGCTCTCATCCACTGTCAGTACCCGATATCCATCCCATGTCTTTCTTCCCATTTAATGTCTGTGTATGGTGTGAGGTTCTGAGCAATCACCAGGCCTGGCTCAGGCTTTAGGATCCACATGTTGGAAATCCAGGGCATCCCAGTGGGGTCTGTGGTCCTGTAATAAGTGCATATGGTCTTTTGGACTTCAGAGAAAGTAGGTATTGTTGCCATGGTGACAGATGATCCAGGCCCAGAGAGGTGAGGTGACTTGCCTAGGTGATAGTACCTACTTTCTAGGGCTGTTGTGAGACTCCAGTGAGCCAAGCATCTGAAGTATAGGAAGCAGTGCTCCAGCCATGTGATTTTCCTTTTTCTCCCAATGGTTTCCCTAGGCCTCTGCTTGCTCTGTGCTGACTCAAATTCAGAATATTGAGCAGTTCGGGACTCCATCTGTTTTCTCCAAATGGAAGAATTAAAGCCTAGTGAATGTATTTTAGGATGAGGAGAGTAGTACAGTTTATATTTTCTTTCTTACATTTAAAAAAATTTTTTATTTTTTGTAGAGATGGTATCTCACTTATGTTGCCCGGGCTGGTCTCGAACTTCTGGCCTCAAGCAATCCTCCTACCTCGGCCTCCCAAAGTGCTGGGACTACAGGTGTGAGCCACTGCATCTGACCTATATTTTCATTTTTGGCTCACAACTTTCCCCCTTTTAAACTTCCCGTAGCTGTTCCCCAGACCTCACTTCCCCTGTGCCTCTGCCCTGGGCCCTGGAGCTCTGGAGGAGCCTCTCTGTTCTTTGAAGCCTGGACTGTCATTTGAAGCTCTAGACTTTCCAGGTTGATGCCTGGGAGCATAGGAGGCCATCATCAACCCCTGGAAACATCTCTGAGTATAGGCTGACAGGCTGGAAGGGATTCTGGGGATCACATGATCCAGGTTGTTTATCACACAGGGGAGACATAAGGCCTCATGAGACAGAAGGTCTTACAAAGGTAATGCAGCTGGTGGAGGCCAGAACTGGAGTTAGAACCAGGTCTCCCGACTTCTGCTTCAGAACTTTCTCTGTCCACTCTGGCATCATTTTCTTTTCTTTCTTTTTTTCTTTTTTTTTTTTTTTTGAGACGGAGTCTCCCTCTGTCACCCAGACTGGAGTGCAGTGGCACCATCTCAGCTCACAGCAACCTCTGCCTCCCGGGTTCAAGGGATCCTTTTGCCTCAGCCTACTGAGTAGCTGGGATTACAAGTGCACACCACCATGCCCAGCTAATTTTTGTATTTACAGTAGAGATGGGGTTTCACCATGTTGGCCAGGCTAGTCTCAAACTCCTGGCTTCAAGTGATCCACCTGCCTGGGCCTCCCAAAGTGCTGGGATTACAGACGTGAGCCACCGCGCCCAGCCTCTCGCGTCATTTTCTTGTTGCTCTGTGTCAGAACTCTGACCAATGACCACGCCTTTCCCAGGGTCCTGCTCAGAGGGCCCTGGCATGTTTATACTTTAGCACCCTAGTGTAGTGGTAGGAGTACAGTCTAGTGTCATCGGCCCTGGGCATGAATCTCAGCTCTTCACGCTACCAGTGCTGTGACTTTAGGAAAATCCCCAGCCCCTTCTCTGTGGCCTGGTTTCTTCAGATGTGTAATGAGGCTGGTGATACCCACCTCGCAGGGTGATTGAGAATTGCACCCGGAGCCTGACGCAAAGTGGACCCTCAGAACATGTTCCCTGACACCAAGAGGGTCTCTGCAGAGCCTTGCCTATGTCCTGGGGTTACTGAAGGAGTCCTTAAACCAAAACTTGGCCGTGCCACTAAGTTCTGCAAACATCTGGGGTGCTGTCGACTGGCTCTGTGAAATATTAATATTATGTCCATTGCACTTTCCAAATATAGTACCATGAGCCATGAGCATACATCCTTCCCCATTTCAAACTTCCCCTTTGTCGGGAGCCAGGCGGGAACCTGGAGCTCTGGGGTGTGAGTTGGGGGTCAGTGTCTGTCTCTTCCACAGCTCGTGCCATTCCTCACCAGGAACTACCTCAAACAAGGCTTCATGGAAAAGACTGGGCCAAAGGTACCTTCTACCACTCCCTGGGGGACTTACGTGGCTTAATGTACACAAAAGGTTTAATGTGTTTATGGGATGACAGTTAAGAGAACAGTGAAAGGTGTTAGGCCAAGTTTGTCCAACCGACAGCCCACGGGCCGCATGCTGCCCAGGACAGCTTGGAATGAGGCCCAACACAACTTCGTAAACTTTCTTTTTTAAATTTTTTTGAGACAGAGTCTTGCACTGTCACCCAGGCGGAGTGCAGTGGTGTGATCTTGGCTCACTGCAACCTCCACCTCCCGGATTCAAGCGATTCTCCTGCCTCAGACTCCTGAGTAGCTGGGATTACAGGTGCCCACCGCCATGACTGGCTAATTTTTGTAATTTTAGTAGAGACGGGATTTCACCATGTTGGCCAGGCTGGTCTCAAACTCCCGACCTCTGCCCACCTCAGCCTCCCAAAGTGCTGGGATTACAGGCATGAGTCACCACGCCCAGCCAAATTCGTGAACTTTCTTAAAACATTATGAGATATTTTTGCGATTTTTTTGTTTTAAGCTCACCAGCTATCATTAGTTTAGTGTATTTTATGTGTGGCCCAAGACAATTCTTCCAATGTGGCCCAGGGAAGGCAAAAGATTGGATACCCCTGTGTTAGGCAATCGTGAAAGCAAGCCTTGGGCAGGCGGAAAAAGCAGTCAAAGCGTTGTTTTCAGAGAGGCGCAGCCCCTCCGCGTGGTTCTTGTTGCCGGGCTTTCTCTCCCTGACCTAGGTTACAATTTGGCCAAGGCCAGCACTTTCAGCCTTGCCAAGCAGTAGCCACTTCTGATTTTCCCCAACTTCCTTTTTCTCCGGCTTCTTTGTCCACCGCCTGAGAAAGAGGAAAGTACCTCTTCCAAGTCAAGGCGGCACCTGGAGGCAGCAGGGTGAAGCTGGTAGAGGGTATGGTGGGGTTGGAAGAGTAATGGGCAGAACCTTCAATGCCTGAGGGCTCCTCTCCAGGCCCCAGGGAGAAGCACTAGGATGTCTGACTGAGGAGGCTGGGCTGGAGAACCAGTGGGGACTGGCCAGCTCCCTTGGTCTGGCCTGGGCTGGCCCCTGATCTCTATCCTCAGAAACTGACTTGGTCATCCATGGTAAGAGGTTCCCTCTTTTGCAGCAGAGAGAACCTTTCAAGAAAAGGTGGTTCGCCCTGGATTGCCATGAGCGGAGGCTGCTCTATTACAAGAACCCACTGGTAAGAGCCACTCCTGCTCCCTCCCCAGGGCTTCCTCAGACAGAACTGGGTAGTGCTTGTCTGAAACTATGTGAAAGCTATGGATAAACACATCTCCCAGAGCCCCAGAGCTAGAGAAACCCTGAGAGGAAAACTTCTACCCCTTGTTTTTGTTGCTCTTGAAGTAATCTCCTGTGGCATGAAGCTTCTTTCCCCTCACTTTCAGGAAGTCCATTATGAGTATCCAAAATGCTGCCCATGGTAGTTAGATGAGGTGTATTTCTTCCTCTAGTCTCCAGGGCTCACTTCTAACCAAGAGGCCGTGATGTGTAGTGGTTAGGAGTGTGGTGGACTCTAGAACCTGGCTGTCTGGGCTCTGGTCTCAGCCCTGCTACTTGTAGTAGTGTTGCCTTGAGCCGAGTACTTAGCCCTCTGTGCCTTAGTTTCCTCCTCTGAAAAACAGGCTTAATAAGAATGCCTTCCCCAGAGGTTGCCATGATGGCTATTTAAGTTACTATAAAGCATTGTAATTCCTGATGCTGATTTTAATAGGTGCTCCATAAATGTTAGGTATCACTTATTTATTTTTTTAGAGACAGAGTCTCTCTCTGTCACCCAGGCTGGAATGCAGTGGCACAATCACAGCTCATTGCAACCTTGAACTTCTGGGCCCAAGTTATCTTCCTGCCTCAGCCTCCCGAGTAGCTCAGAATACAGGCATGTACCACCATGCCCAGCTAATTAAAAAAAAAAAAAAAAAAAAAAAGGTAGGGCTGGGTGCTCTGGCTCTTGCCTGTAATCCCAGTACTTTGGGAGGCTGAGGCAGGAGGATCACTTGAGCCCAGAAGTTCGAGACCAGCCTGCGCAATATAATGAGATCCCATCTCTACAAGAAACTTAAGGCCGGGCATGGTGGCTCACGTCTGTAAACCCAGCACTTTGGGAGGCCGAGGCGGGCAGATCACGAGGTCAGGAGTTCAAGACCAGCCTGACCAACATGGTGAAACCCCGTCTCTACTAAAAATACAAAAATTAGTCGGACATGGTGGTGCATGCCTGTAATCCCAGTTACTCAGGAGGCTGAGGCAGGAGAATCACTTGAACCTGGAAGCAGAGGGTGCAGGGAGCCGAGATCACACCATTGCACTCCAGCCTGGGCGCAGAGCGAGACTCCGTCTCAAAAAAAAAAAAAAGAAAAAGAAAAGGAAAGAATTTTTAAAATTAGCCAGGTGTGGTGGCGCATGCCTGTAGTCCTAGCTGCTTGGGAGGCTGAGGTGGGAGGATCGCCTGAGCCTGGGAGGTTGAGGCTGGGATGAACCATGATTGTGCCACTGCACTTCCAGCCTGGGTGACAGAGTGAGACCCTGTCTCCAAAAACAATTCATAATAATAATTAATAAATTTTTTTTTGCAGAGAAGGGGTCTCACTATATTGCCCAGGTTGGTCTCATATTCCTGGCCTCAAACAATTCTCTGCCTTGGCTTCCCAAAGTGCTAGGATTATAGGCATGAACTATCAGGCCCACCCTCAGTATCTTTTCAACAGATGACGTGTATGATTTATTTTAGGGTTTTGATCTTTCAAATTCTGGGTCCCACTCAGCAGAAATCCCAGCAGGGACCTCATAACCCCTTCCCAAAATAGAGCTTGGAGGCTGTCAGGGCTGCAGGGCCCCTCTGCCCTGGGGGCACCCTCTGATGGCCCTGTACCCTCCATTTTCAGGATGCCTTCGAGCAGGGCCAGGTTTTTCTGGGGAACAAGGAGCAGGGATATGAAGTCTATGAAGACCTGCCCAAGGGCATCCGAGGAAATCGCTGGAAAGCCGGACTCACCATTGTCACCCCAGAGCGGAGATATGTCCTCACTTGCCCCAACGAGAAGGAGCAGCAGGAATGGCTGGAAAGTTTGCGGGGTGTCCTGTCCAGCCCCTTGACGCTCCTCAACCGCCTCAGTAAGAAGCAGGAACTGAAGGGTGTTCTTTTGGCCAAGGGCAGAGGGCAGAAAGTGCTTTTTCACTTAGGTTCAGCTGTGATGCCACAAAAGAGTCTTGATTCCTGACTATGCTCTTTTCACTGTCTTTTCTTCCTGAGAAAGAAAAGCACAGACATACCATTATTGCCAAAAAGTCTACTCTGTCCACCCTGGGTTCCCGTAACAAAGCCCTTCCCCAGGAGCTTTTAGAGGAGTTTGGCCCTGGCAGAACCCCCGGGTACCGTCTGTACCCCTCGCAGTGTGGGGGCTGAGCAGCTTCTCTTTCCCTCCACCCTCCTCTATGCTGATCCTTTTTCTCGTGAGAAAACCCTGGCCTGTTATTATTAGCTAAGGTCATACCCGCTGGGCAGCTCCTGGGATTTTTGGATTCCTCCCCACTCCAGAGGGAAGGCTATTTCTAGTGGCTTCTTTTCTCCGAGTCCTCCCTTCTGTCTGCCTGTCTCCTGCTCCTCTTTACCAGTAGGCCTTCCTCAGTGCTGACAGCCCTGTGAAAAAGGAGGAGACATGCCGAGCTCCGGCAGGAAACTGCTGGCCCAGGGCCTGGCTTCTGGGGCACAAAGGAGAATTTCTGTGTTTGGAAAAATACAGACTGAGCAGGTGACCCCCGCACAGCCCCTTGGGGGAAACACTTGTGCCCTTTGAGTCTGACCGATATAAACACAGACTCTCTTGACTGTCCCACAAAGGCCAAAGCCAGAGAACCTCAGAAAGGGACTTGCAAATTGTGAGTGAGGCATATCAGCTGGTGCTTTCTTTTCTCTATGGGCTGCCATTTATGAGTCTCTTGGTTTCTCTCTGTCTCTGTCCCTCCACTTTTCTCTCCTTTGCTGGTGTGTGCATCCCCTCTGATGCCCTGGCCCTTACTCTTTCATTCTGTTTTTTATTCAGAGGCTCCCTCTGTTTTCGTGTTATTTTTTTTTAATTTTCATTTTTCGAGACGGGATCTTGCACTGTCACCCAGGCTGAAGTACAGTGGTGCGATCTCAGCTCACTGCAATCTCCTCTTCCTGGGCTCAGGCAATCCTCTCACCTCAGCCTCCCAAGTAGCTGGGACTACAGGCTCGTGACACCACATCCAGCTAATTTATTTTGTATTTTTGGTAGAGACAGAGTTTCACCATGTTGCCCAGGCTGGTCTCGAACTCCTGAGCTCAAGTGATCCACCTGCCTCGGCCTCCCAAAGTGCTGGGATTACAGGCGTGAGCCACTGCGCCCGGCCATGGCTTCCTCTGTCTTTGTACACCTGTCCCTTTGCTGTCCCTCTCCTCCACAGAACAGCATTGGCATGGCCACCTCCCTCAGCCCTCTTCATTTCCCTTGTAGCTGCATCAACAGAGAGTGGCCGCAGCAGCAGGTGACCCATTAACTGAGGGACTGGCTGCCACTGAACACCTGGAGCGCCTTGTAGGAAGGAGAAGTTCGCACCTCGACCCTGGCTGCCCACCATCAGTGCCCCGCAGTCAGCAGCCATCCCTGGCAGTGAACTCTGCCAGGACTGAAGCTGTGGCTTTATCCATCAGCTCCCTGAGCCTTCCCCCCAACACACCCCAGGGATCTGAGGATCTGGTACATAAACGAACATCTATCCCCTCCTCCCCCATATACACCCAGGCTTGAAATGCCTACAGGCCCAGAACTTTCTCACATCTGGAATGGAGGCATTGCAATGAAAAGGCACCCACAGCATCATGCAAGTGGCATCTTGTTAAAAAAAAAAAAAGTTTAATCTGAATCTAACCATGAGGAAATAATCAGACAAATCCACATTAGGGGCATTCTGCTAAACATCTGACCCGGACTCTTCAAAAATGAAGAGTGAAAGATAAAATACTCAACGGCTAGGTGCAATGGCTCACATCTGCAATCCCAGCACTTTGGGAGGCCAAGGTGGACGGATCGTGAAGTCAGGATATCAAGACCATCCTGGCCAACATGGTGAAACCCCATCCTTACTGAAAATACAAAAATTAGCTGGATGTGGTGGTGCACTCCTGTAGTCCCAGCTACTTGGGAGGCTGAGGCAGGAGAATCGCTTGAACCCGGGGGTGGAGATTGCAGTGAGCCAAGATTGCACCACTACACTCCAGCCTGGTAACACAGCAAGACTCTATCTCAAAAAAAAAAAAGAGAAAGTAGTCAATATTGTGAAAGATAAAGTAGTCTGAGAACTGTTCTATATTAAAGGAGGCTAGGCCAGGCGCAGTGACTCAAGCCTGTAATCCCAGCATTTTGGGAGGCCTAGCTGGGCAAATCACTTGAGGTCAGGAGTTTGAGACCAGCCTGGCCAACATGGTGAAACCCTGTCTCTACTAAAAATACAAAAATTAGCTGGGCTTGGTGGCGCATGCCTGTAATCCCAGCTACTCAGGAGGCTGAGGCAGGAGAATCGTTGGAGCTTAGGAGGCCGAGGTTGCAGTGAGCCAAGATCACGCCACTGTACTTTTTTTGAGACTCTGCCTCAAGAAAAGAAAAAAAGGAGAATAAGATATGGCAACCAAAAGCAATTCATGGTTCTTGATTGGTCCTGGAAAAAAAAAATAGCTGAAAAGGACATAATTGAGATAACTGGGAAATTTGAATATGAATGTGTATATTAATAGTATTGTAATGTTGTGATAATTGTGCTGTATTTGTATAGCGGAATGTTCTTTTTCTTAGGAGATACACACTGAAATATTTAGGGATAAAATGTGAATGCAATTGATTCTTTTTTTGTTTGTTTGTTTTGAGATGGAGTCTTGCTCTTTCGCCCAGGCGGGCGAAATGGCTGGGTGTGGAGGTTCATTCCTGTAATCCCAGCACTTTGGGAGGCCGAGGCGGGTGGATCACTTGAGGACAGGAGTTCCAGACCAGCCTGGCCAATATGGTGAAACCTCATCTCTACTAAAAAAATACAAAAATTAGCCAGGCATGGTGGCGCGCACCTGTAGTCCCAGGTACTCGGGAGGCTGAGGCAGAAGAATTGCTTGAACCGAGGAGACGGAGGTTGTGGTGAGTCAAGATCACGCCACTTCACTCCAGCCTCGGTGACAGAACTAGACTCCATCTGAAAAAAAACAAAAAAAAAGTGAACTGTGATCGTGCCACTGCACTCCAACCTAAGTGACAGAGCAAGACCCTGTCTCAAAAACAAAAACAAAAAACTGAAGAGACACAGTGCTATTGGAGGCAGAGGCAGATCCAGCCCAGGCTCTGAGTGCGGCCCTGCAACCAACCCGAAGCCACTGGAATATTCACTTCCCCACCTCTGTGCCTTGATTTTTCTATTTAAAATGAAGTTACACTAACTATTGAAATTCAAAGTAATAACAAGTATTTCTGACTACCTCTCAGGTGCCAGGCTCTGTGCTAGGCCCTGTGAATAGGCAAAGATGACATGGTCCCTGCTGTGACAGATCGCAGAGCGCTGGAGAGGCAGCCTCTTAACAGGCAGCACAGTGAAGTGAGTGTTCAGAAAGGGGAAGAGCAGGCTGCTGTGGGGCTGTGTGGTGATGGGGCTTAGCCTAGTTCGGGGGCGAGGGAAGCCTCCTTCCTCTCCCGAAAGTGACATGTAAGTTGAAACCTTCAAGCTGCTTAGAGGTTAGTCTAAAGGAAGAGGGTGAGGAAGCACTCTAAGCAGAGGAAATGGAATGCTCAAAGGTCCCAAGATGGAAAAAAGGAACTGAGTGAGGCCCGGTGCGGTGGCTCACACCTGTAATCCCAGCACTTTGGGAGGCCAATGCAGGCGGATCATGAGGTCAGAAGTTCAAGACCAGCCTGACCAACATGGTGAAACCCCGTTTCTACTAAAAACACAAAAATTAGCTGGGCGTGGTGGTGGGTGCCTGTAATCCCAGCTACTCAGGAGGCTGAGGCAGGAGAATCGCTTGAATGTGGGAGGCAGAGGTTGCAGTGAGCCGAGATTGTGCCATGGCACTCCAGCTTGGGTGACAGAGCGAGACTCCATATCAAAAAAAAAAAAAAAAAGGAACTGATTGAAATCTGAAATGGCTGAAATGTTAGAGAAACAGAGTGCCAAGGCCCCTGCGCTGTGACTTGTTGTTCCTTTCCTCTGTCTTCAAGCAACACGCAGAAATACACTGGATGTTCTCTCTTCGCTTCAATGGAGACCTAAGGAGCTGGGAGGGTCTCTAAGAGACTCTCTGTGGCTGGGTGTGATGGTTTATGCCCATAATCCCAGCCCTTTGGGAGGCTGAGGCAAGAGGATTGAGACCCAGAGTTCAAGAGCAGCCTGGGCAACATAGTGAGATCCCATCTCTACAAAGAAAAAAAAATTAGCTGGACATGGTAGTGCATGCCTGTAATCCCAGCTACTCAGGACACTGATGTGAGAGGATCACTTCAGCCAGGGAGGTCATGGCTACTGTGACCCCTGATTGCACCACTGCACTCAGCCTGGGTGACAGAGTGAGACCCTGTCTCAAAATAAATAAATAAATAAATATGCATTTTATGGGACTTCCCTTTGGATCCCCCAATCAAAGGATAAGCAATGCATCAGCCTGTGTCCTTCCTGAAGCTTCTCGACTGCCCAGATAGGGAGGTGAGTCCTCTCTATCTCCTCTGGCTCTGGATGCACCTTGAAAATCTGCATTTTCAAGGACACTTGCTGGGTTGTGCATTAAGGGCCGGTTTACTTGTCTTCCTCTTTCACCACCTGTAAACTCTGTTGGGTGTACTCTGCTAAGTTCTGGGGATGAGGAAATTAATAAAGGCACGGTCCTGCCCTCAAGGAACTTATGGTCTAGAGGAGAAGAATGAGAGGTAGACAGGCAGTAACAAAGCTACTTGAAGAGGCAAACTGGGATTCTAAGGGTGGGAAAGAACAGACACAAGAGATAAAGTCCCAACGAAATGGAGTGCTTAGTTTTGGATGATTTCTTCCTCAAGGAAGAGTATACTTCTATACTCTTTTTTTTTTTTTTTTTTTTTTTTTTTTGAGGCGGAGTCTCGCTCTGTCTCCCAGGCTGGAGTGCAGTGGCCGGATCTCAGCTCACTGCAAGCTCCACCTCCCGGGTTCACGCCATTCTCCTGCCTCAGCCTCCCGAGTAGCTGGGACTACAGGCGCCCGCCACCGCTCCCGGCTAATTTTTGTATTTTTTTAGTAGAGACGGGGTTTCACGTGTTAGCCAGGATGGTCTCGATCTCCTGACCTCATGATCCACCCACCTCGGCCTCCCAAAGTGCTGGGATTACAGGCTTGAGCCACCGCGCCCGGCCCAGATGACTTTGAAGTGGCTGGCAGCAGATCATGCAGGACTTTATAAACTTTTTTTTTTTTTTTTTTTTTTTTTGAGACAGAGTTTCGCTCTTGTCCCCCAGGCTGGAGTGCAATGGTGCGATCTCGGCTCACTGCAACCTCTGCCTCCCAGGTTCAAGCAATTCTCCTGCCTCAGCTTCCCGAGTAGCTGGGATTACAGGTGCCCACCACTATGCTCAGCTAATTTTTTGTATTTTCAGTAGAGACGAGGTTTTGCCATGTTGGCCAGGCTTGTCTTGAACTCCTGGCCTCAGGTGATCTGCCCGCCTCAGCCTCCCAAAGTGTTGGGATTACAGGCGTGAGCCACTGCGCCTTTATAAACTATTTTAAGGTATTTAGATTTCCAGCACGAAGGCAGTAAACGGGGGAGGGACATAATCAGGTTTGAATTTTTTTTTTTAAAAAAACAGCAATCTAGAGTATAAGTATGAAACATACCAATTGATAGGTCATTTCAATAACTCACAGACGCCATAGTAATATGTAATTGTAGGCCCATGTCAGAGGCATCATACCAGCTCTCCTTTCCCATTGCTTTCCTACACATTCTTCAACTATTTAGAAGAAAAAGGCATACTTCTCACCCATCTCAAATCACATTAGGACGTAAAAATATCTGGCATGTCAAGTAAATAAGTAATTTGAAATATTAATGACAATTAAGCCTTCTTTTTAAATTTTTATTTTTAAGTTATATAGTGAAGTTGAGTTTCTCTTTCTTTTTTTTTTTTTTTTTTTTTTGAGACGGAGTCTCGCTCTGTCGCCCAGGCTGGAGTGCAGTGGCCGGATCTCAGCTCACTGCAAGCTCCGCCTCCCGGGTTCACGCCATTCTCCTGCCTCAGCCTCCCGAGTAGCTGGGACTACAGGCGTCCGCCGCCTCGCCCGCCTAGTTTTTTTTGTATTTTTTAGTAGAGACGGGGTTTCACCGGGTTAGCCAGGATGGTCTCGATCTCCTGACCTCGTGATCCGCCCGTCTCGACCTCCCAAAGTGCTGGGATTACAGGCTTGAGCCACCGCGCCCGGCGAGTTTCTCTTTCTTTGTACTGTTCTGTGTTTTAACATATATATGGATCCATATAATCACCACCACAGAGTAAAGAACAGGCCAGACGTGGTGGCTCACACCTGTAATCCCAACACTTTGGGAGGCCAAGGCAGGAGGATCACTTGAGGCTAAGACCAGCCTGGGCAATGTAATGTAATGAGATCCTGTCTCTACAAAAAACAAAAAAAGGCCAGGTGCGGTGGCAATCACGAGGTCAGGAAATCAAGACTATCCTGGCCAACATGGTGAAACCCCATCTCTACTAAAAATACAAAAATTAGCTGAGCGTGGTGGCGCATGCCTGTAGTCCCAGCTACTCAGGAAGCTGAGGGAGGAGAATCACTTGAACCCAGGAGGCGGAGGTTGCAGTGAGCCGAGATTGCACCACTGCACTCCAGCCTGGCGACAGAACGAGACTCTGTCTCAAAAAAATAGAAAACAAAAATAGCCAGGCATGGTGGCATGTGCCTGTAGTCCCAGCTACTCAAGAGGCTGAACTCCCACTTAAGCCTGGGAATTCAAGGCTGCAGTGAGCTATGGTCTCACCACTGCACTCCAGCCTGGGTGACAAAGTGAGACCCTGCTTCAGCAAAGACCAGTTTATTTCACACCCAAAAACTCCCTTATAGCCACACCCTTCCCCTGCCCCGTGGCAACCATTGATCTGTTCATCATTATAGACTGTATTTTCGAAAATTCCATATACATGGAATCATTTAATATGTAATTTTTAAAGACTGGATTCTTTCACAGCACATGATACCTTTGAGATTCATCCAAGTCACTGCATGTGTCAATACATCTTTCCTTATTGCTAAGTAGTATTCCACTGTATGAATGTACTATAGCTTGTTTATCCAATGGAATGCTGCTTAGCACTAAAAAGGAACAAATTATTCATACATACCACAGTCTCCAGGTATGGGACTTCTGGTTCATATTGATGTGGGGTAGGTAGTCAAGGAAGTAATCTTGTTCTCGGGACATAGCAATTGTGGTGACTATTCAGTCAATGCAATAAGCCTCAGCATTCGCAATGTAATTGAGCTTATTCAAACAAAGCTATCTGCAGTAGGGAATTTCTCATGTAGACAGCATGCACACTTTGGGGTTTTTTTTGTGTGTTTCTTTTCTTTTCTTTTTCTGAGATGGAGTCTTGCTCTGTCACCTAGACTGGAGTGCGGCTCACTGCAACCTCTGCCTCCCAGGTTCAAGCAATTCTTCTGCCTCAGCCTCCTGGGTAGCTGGGTCCACAGACGCACACCACCATGTCCAGATAATTTTTGTATTTTTAGTAGAGACGGGGTTTCATCACGTTGGCTGGGCTGGTCTCAAACTCCTGACCTTGTGTGATCCACCCACCTCGGCCTCCCAAAGTGCTGGAATTACAGGTGTGAGC